TATGTACCAATGGCTTTATGTGTTTAAAATTATTGCATTTCTTGTGTTTGAACTGTTTGATTCTCTGATCTGTGTTGGCGAATCAACAGTTTTGTAAAGTCCTCCGAGATAACTACAGATGTGATTTAGGGCGATACAAAAATAGATTATTATTATTGAATTGAAGAGAAGAGAAGAGAACATTTCTGATTTTCACTTGTTTGTGTTCTACATAGCATGGATCTGTATTTGATTTGGTGGCATAAGATTAGGGTTAGGTTCAAAACAGCAGATATATACACTGCAATAAAATGATAACATATGAGGTAATAATGGCTTGAATCGAGATTTTTTTTTATAATAATATAAGCACATTCTGACTGTGCACAGTTTAGTCTTATTTGGAACATTGGACCAAATACATTTTATGTTTTGCCAAATGTGAGCAATGTTTGATTTATTTTTCATAATCTTTGCAATGTATGGTGGCGATCAGGGGGGGAAGCAGTTTCTCAGGTGGCCCTTGATGTAAAAGGTTGGCGATCCACTGCAACATTCCTCCTTTCATCTCTCCGTGCTTCTCACAGGTTTAATCAAATGTCCGGGTTTTACTGTATATCGTTAATAACATGGTCTTTCTCTGGTGCATGAGGATATCTCGCTGTTCCTTTCATGTGCGGTTGCAGTTTTCTGTGAGACCTTGTCAATCACAGAGCACGCATGACGCCTCAGCTGACAGACCGTCTCACACTGACCCACATTTGATTCTTGGCTTCAGCCCGTTTGCTCTGGACCTCCACAGTCTGCTCTCTCCTGTCTCTCACATGCTGCCAACAGAGTCAAAATCACAACAAGATGCACAGATTATTTCACTTGGAACCCTTCGTTATAGATAGCCATGCACAAGACTCCTTATAGATGATAGATGATGGACAATGCTAAGGCGCTAGCTCAACAAATCCCTAGGGAAGTGCTCATGAATGCTCTCATTCAATCAAAATGTATTTCTGAAGCACAGTTTATACAGAATGCAACCCAAAGTGCTTTACATTGACAACACTTAGAACCAGTTTAAAACACACTCTAAAACACATACAATACAATACAATACACATTATTCTTGTATAGCCCTAAATCCCAACAGCAGTCATCTCAGAGGACTAAACAAAACCATTGAAATCACAGTGTACATGAATGTTGTTAAACGTTCATGGACAATAAACACATAAAAATATAAATTTGAAAAAAAAAAAATTACTTTATAGAACAACACCTGATGATACTGTCATAGACACTGCTACAAAGAGCCGCTTTCAGCCTACACTTGAATATAGACAGGGTGTACTGGCCCGTCCTACACCTTAAGGAAGATTGTTCCATATTATAGGTGCATAGGTAAGGAAGTAGCAATGTTTATTTTAGGGCTGTCAAACGATTACATGTTTTAATCGAGTTACTCTCTGTCTCTCTCTCCCTCCCTCTGGTCTCTCTCTCTCTCTCTCTCTCTGGTCTCCCTCTCTCTCTCTGGTGTCTCTCTGGTCTCCCTCTCTCTGGTCTCTCAATAAAAGGCCACAGTTTTCATATGTAAGAGCCCAGCTTGTCTCTTCTAAAGTCTGTATGACAAAGACACTGTCACAGATGGCACAAACCACAGATTTGCTCAGGCTTTGTCAGCTCTCAGAAGGCAACAATGGCCTGACATGTGTGAAGTGATCTGAGTGGTTAGCCTTTGTCTTGGTGACTTATTGACATGCATAAGAACACTGGCCAAGTCTCCAATAAATCAAGAGCTTTTCAGATGGATGAGGAGCTACTGTCCTCTCAGCTGGTGGTCTGAGGAGGTCATCTGTCCAAACTTACCCGGTCGCTCTTTCATTCATTGGTTTACAATGGCATAGGTTTACGTACATGTCCCCACTAATATTTTTATTTTTACCAAATATGAGATGATGTTCCAGGCCGTCCAGAGCAGCCGCAGCAACAGCAGCAGCGTGTGACCCGAGGAGCTCATGCACTTACAATTCAATACAATACAATAGAATTTATTCTTGTATAGCCCTAAATCACAACAGCAGTCATCTCAAAGGACTTAACAAAACCTTTGAAATCACCAACAAAAATCAGAGAATCAACAGTTAAGACATAAAAAATTAAGAACACACATGTATTGTTCCATAGGGAGAGACCAGTGCCCATGAATGTTGATAAATGTCCATGAATGTTGTAGAATTTTAGAGTGTCCTGGATCATCTCCACAGAAATGTGAGTAACCTCAGGGAGATCCACATTGAGAGAGGGATCAGCTCCCACGGATGGACGGGCTATAGATCCAGGACCTAAGCTAGAGAACGAGTTGTGGATAACAGCGTGGTATTCCATACGAAAAGTGAAATTTGATTGGGTCGTTATCATAGACTGTATATATTAACGGACAGAGTCACGCCTATCTCCGCCGTTCTAACTAATGGGCCAAAAAATGTGCTCTACTGGAGCAATCCAAAATGGCCGCGAGTGGTCCCGCCCCCAAGAAAATTGTGAAAAAAACGCATCTGCGCATGCGTCAGCCGGCGCAGCTCCATTCATTTGAACGAGAGACTTCAAAAATTCACAGCAAGTAAAATAGAGTGGACCAAAAAAATCCACCCCCCTCAGCATTGACACACATGTGGAACGGAGTTTTGGGCCAAGAGCCAACTTTTGGTCCATCCTGTAAAGATGTTTTTGAGAGGTCTGCCAATGCTATATGTTAACATTGGGTAATTCTACTTCTGGGTCCACCCCCATCGGCCCGGGGTGGTACTGCAAGCATGTCAGCGCACGTCATTTTGGCCACTTTGGAGCTGGGACCCTCCCCCACTGGTCGTTATACATAGTTCCCACATGACGTCACTACATACGGGGATTTGCCGACCCGGCGCCATTTGAGTTGGCATTCTGTGGGCAAAACAATAGAAAAAGAAGCTGAAACGTGTTAATGTCGTGATAAAGTTGAAAATGGTCATCTCCTGCTGGGTCAATGGATGTTCAAATCGTGCCGGAGGTTCCGTTAAACTTGGATTTTACAGTATACCCATCATTAGACTTCATGAATGTGAGAAGACTTAAGCTTTTGTCAGAACAACCACGGAGGTTATGGCTTGCGAAGATAAACAGGCAAGAAACTCCCTCAAAACACGCAAGAATATGCTCGGAGCACTTTGTGTCAGGTGCGTATCGTATCTTATAATGTGTTGACAGACGTAATTTACTCAGTACTAACTTGTGTATGCTGATATCTGGTAACTTGAGAGTTTCATTATTTAGCGTTAGATTACTTTATTATGAGGAGGATCGGTGTCGCGTCCGAGGCTCTCGAGGGCAACGTTAATGTATTAAATAGATAATAATAGTTCTATGGTGGGCTAAAACAATGTTCACAAACAGCATTGCTTCTGTAAAAAGATCTGTGTCATAAAATAAACTGCTCTTTACGCCTGGAAAAATCAGTTGCCCACCATTCACCAAAACATACGGTCAAAAACGTGGAAATAAACAATAACAGCAATCCAGAGTGTCCGTGTGGCATTAGCATTAATTAAATTAATTGTTAATATAATTAAAATAATTAAATGGAGCTCCAATTGGTATTAAATCTAAAGTTTTTGAGAAATGTTTGCATTGCTTGTTAATTTTTGCTGCATAATTTGATCAAATATGTAAAACATGTCCGTAGCACGTTAAACTGTGGTGCCATTGTATTAATATACAATTATTTGCTCAAAAGTTGCCCTTTTTTTCCAATTTGCGTTTGAATATCTACATTTATTCTCATTCTTCTGTTTAATGGAATGCACAAACACAACAGTGTGCCATCAAAGATGGCGTCTCCGAGGAGGTCATGTGACATTCATTGGTCTGTGGGAACTATGTATATGTTTTCTCTCTGCAATGAGAAAATGTGAGTAGATAAGAAAGTACACCGAGGTCCAGTGGTTAAGACTGGACACCCCCAGCTCTGTGGCCAGGGTTTGATTCTTGGTCAGTACCTGCATTTTTGATTTCATATTTTTAATATGTTCCGACAAAAGCTGAAACCAAACCCCCGCCCTTGGTTGTATGCACAGCTAAACAGAATTGTTCTTAACATGGCTTTGGAAACGTTCAGGAAGACTATTCCTGATTTTTGCTGCATACAATTCTAAAACGATGCCCCCTCATGTTTACCACTGACTCTGGGCACCAGCAGGAGGCGAGTCCCTGTGCGCCTCAGAGTCCGCAGAGTTGTGTCATAACTATTGAAGAAAATGACCAAATACTGTATACAGAGGCCTGGAATCGTGTCACAGCAGAAGACATTTTAATGCAGCTTATTTATCATTTATTTAGCTTATTATTAGCTTCGACCTTCAGAACACAACATAAAAAACAAGTGGAAAATCACTGAAAAAAATCACTTCTGCATATTGTTGTAAAAAAAAGATATAGTTTTATCAAAAGTGCTATAAATCTGTCTTACCTAACTGTTAACTTCTTACTTTAGTCATTTTTGAGGAAAAGTAGTCAGTATAACAAGAATATCAACTAGTTTATTAAAGTCATGCATATCCATAATTTGGGGAAATCTGAGTGCAGTGTAAAACCTTGTGCAGAGAATAAACTAACAATTCTTAGTTTTGAATAATCCAACTGTATTTTATTCTCCGACAACCGTCTTTGTGCTTGATATTGCAGTGAGCTTTGAGTGTGTAAGTGTATTTTTGAGTGCCCCAGATAAAGACGCAGGCAGATCCCCAAAAGACTGGTGGGTATGAGCCGTTTATGACAATGAGGCAGAATGAGGTAAAATGAAGCCATCACCGCTGGAGAGGAGAGACACTCACTCACGATCTGAAAGCCGGTGAAACGAGGAGACAAGGTAGAGTTAAGGCAACAGGGAGCCAGAAAGCAGGAAATGTGAAAAGGAAAGGATTTAGGGAACGGCGGGGGATCAGCGCAGGCCGAGGCAGGACAATAGAGAAGGACGGGAGAGGGTGTGCTTGGAGATGAACCCCAATATCAACATGGCCGACCGCGGTGAAGGCTTTCTGCAGCGTTTGTGTCTCACCAGGACACCAGCAACAAAGCAGTGGTACAAAGGAGACGGATGGAAAACCAGTAATCTCTTCTCAAATCACACCTGTGTTGGTACAGTAGCGTAACATCAGAAAATTAAGGAACAAACACATCACTCTGCCCCCTTGTCTAAACAAACCTCAGATTCAGTTCATTTGCAGTAAAACCCCATTGGAATACTTGTGCAAATGTCCCCAATGTGCACCAGACAAGTACAAGAATAAAACAAGCGACAGTAGCTCAGTTGGTAGAGCATTGGCCTTTGAGCCAGAAGGTTGTGGGTTCGAGCCCACCTCAAGACTTTCACCATCGACTCCCTCTGTCTGCTGTCGTTGTGTCCTTGGCAAGACACTAACCCTCTGGGAACACCTGATGCCATAGTGGGATGGCTGTGGCTGTAAAGTGCCAAACTGCCGTTGTGTCCTTAGGCAACACACTTCACCCCCATTGGCTAGAATGAGTCTGGTGTGTGAGTGAATGGTTGGTGGTGTTCTGAGGGGCTGACGGCACATACTGTCAGTGTGCCTCAGGGCAGCTGTGGCTACAGTAGTAGTTTATCACCACTGTGTATGGAGTGAAAGAATAATGACATGTGAAGTGTCCTTGAGTGTCCAAAAAAAGCGCTATATAAAACCGATGCATTTTTATTATTAAGCTAAACAGTACAAAAACAATCAATACTGTGAAACAAATCAGCAAAAACCGCTTCAATACAAGTGTAAGATCATCAAGTGCTTTGCTCAGACTGAAAATCCAGATGTCCTGCAGCCAGCGATATATTCTGCCAGAGGGAAGAAGCTGGAACTTGGCTTTTCCAGGAGCCAGAGGAGTCAAGGAAGAGATTTTATTTTATTCTAGTGTAGAGTTTTGCTTTGTGCTCCTCATTCCTACAGTCCTGTCACTGGAGATGCAACACTGACATTTCGCCACTATGGGACCAATAAAGGAGCTCTTCTTCTTTTTTATTCCAAGAGCTTGAATGAAGAATCTGGATTCATAAAGAACTTGCAGAACAGCCAGCTCACAGTCCTTCAGAGTGCACTTGTTGTGGATCGTTGAAGCAATTATTGTATGTTAAAACCATAGACTGTATGTATTAACAGACGTAGTCGCGCCTATCTCCGCCGTTCTAACCAATGTCAGCGCACGTAATTTTGGCCACTTTTGAGCCGGGACCCGCCCCCACTGGTTCTGACAGAGCTTGTCATTATAACAGTCTGCAGTCAGTACTTTTCAACTTGATATTTTGGTCCGAAGGTCGAAGCTAACGACTGATCACAGGGACTGGCCTTCTTCTGGGACTGACAGGGTTTGTTCCAGATCATCACCGCTGTCCTTAGAAACTCTTCTGAAATAATGAATGATATTGAATAATATCAACTTGAAAATCCTAAAAAACATAGATATTTTAATCTGCACAAAGGTAAGTGTTGTGTTTTACATTGTAATTTTACCTGAACACATCTGCTCCAATAGTATTTGCCTGTTGTTCTTTTCTGGTAGAAGACGGCTGAGGCTGAAGCAGAAGCAGGCGCTACGTGGACAATAGTACATTTTACAGATGGACAGACTCCCATTATGTAGAGTTTGTTGGAAGATGTGGAACATAACAGTTCAAGTTTATGTTAAATCCAACAGCTCTATCGACCTCACGCAATAGCATCATAAGCTACATTTAGTGTGTATGTATTTGGTGAAAGAAACTTCAAAGTAATGCAGTAGTAGTGAAATTCTTTACAATTCAGACGTAGTAATATTGTAGTATTGGGTGGCCTTTCTGAGTGGAGTTTGCACGCTCTCCCCGTGTCTGCGTAGATTTCCCCTGCCACTAAAAATATGTACAATAGGTCTGGCATGTGATTCCTGTTTGGCGACCCCGCTCCCATCTCTGTACGGAGGGAGAGGACAAATGCCCAACAATAACAATTGTAAACCGCTCTGTGAAAGGCGGTATATAAATAAAGATTACTTACTTGTTTTATTGTTTTATTTTTGTTTATTTTTATACTCTTAAGGACTCACATGCAAGCACAGGATCACAGGACTTACTTACTTTGAAATAACAGTAGAATAAGCTCCATTATTTGTCCCACAATGGGGAAATCTCAGTTTGATGCATACACATATACAACAAGGCAAGCAGCAAACATCACTTCCGCGCTCCTTATAGGCAAAGTAGGCTAAGTGTCTTGCCCAAGGACAGCAGACATCAGTTGGAGTCGGTGGAGAGGGTCTTGTGGTGGGCTCGAACCCACGACTATCGGGCTCAGAGACCAATGCTCAACCAACTAAGCAACATGTCTTACGTTTTTGAAATAACTTTACCAACACTGGGTATGGTATGTAACTTAAAGGAAACCACTGGGACATATCCAGTCGTTATGAAAGGTTGTTCTCCTTCAGCCCTGACTTTGGTGGAGTTTGTGCAGTATTTCTATTCGTGGCGGTGGTCAGCTGAGCAGACAGGCCGACGGCACACGCCACGGCTCTGAGTGTGAAGGAACAGAACAGCTGCAAGGTCTGCTGCTCGGGTTCCACAAGACCACCAACTCATCACTGAACCAGGGCTAAACTACACAGGCAGAGAGAGAAAGTGAGGGGAGAGAGGGAGAGAGAAGAAGAGAGAGAAAGGGAGAGAAAGAGGGGGGAAAGGGTGGGAGAGAGATAAACGGGGGAGATGAAGGTAGAGAGAGGGGGAGAGGGTAGGAGCGAGAAGGGTAGAGGGAGAGAGATAGACGGCAAGGCAAAGAGAGGGAGATAGAAAGAGAGGAAGAGGGAGGGAGAGGAAGAGAGAGGAAGGGGGAGAGGGAAAGATAGAGAGAGAGGCAGAGGGAGATAAAAAAAAAGAAAGAGGGGTGAGAGGGAAAGAGGGGAGGGGGCAAGAGAGAGAGATATAGAAAGAGAGGAAGAGGGAGATAAAAAAGAGAAGGGGGAGAGAGAGAGGGGAGAGGGAAAGAGTGGGAGATAGAGAGGAAGAGGGAGGGAAAGAGGGGGAGAGGCAAAGAGAGAGATAGGGAGGGAAAGAAATAGAGAGGAAGAAGAGAAAGAGAGAAGAGAAAGAGAGGGGGAGAGGGAAGAGGGAGATAAAGGGAGAGAGGGAAAGGGAGATTAGAGAGGGAGATAGGGACATAGAGAGAAAAAGGGGGAGAGAAGGAGATAGAGAGGGAGGGAGAGAAAGAGGGGAAGAGAGAGGGTGTGGTGTGGGGCTGATAAGGACTGTGAGACAGAGACAGAGACACAAGACAAAGCAATAGATCTAAAGAATGAACTCGGACTAAGTTCAAGTTTTCAAATAACTGGATCAAAAATGTCTCCTTTGTTTCCACTGGAGAGGACATTCTGATCCGTGCTGTTTTAAATACATTATTTTGAGTGCCGCATATTAGGTTAAGTTTTCCTCTTGATTGCTGGTCTGCTAGCGCTGACGCATCTCTTTACGCAAATGTATTTGAATTATTCTGCATAATGTCCTCTGGAACAGGCCCTTGATTAAGACGAAGATGAAGATTAAGAGATCCTTTATTCATCCCACGGTGGGGAAATGTCAGTGTTGCATCACCACTTACAGAACAGTAGGAATGAGGAGCACACAGCACAAGATAAACAAATACTATAACACAATGGAATCTAAACTTAAGCATATTAAAGAAGAAAGAATACCATACTGTGATATCCTCAGGTCAAATTGACCCGCCACAGTGGATAAAAAATACCCTTTTTTTCTTTTTTTCGAGCTCATTTTGATTATTTTTCCTAACTCAACCAGCCCAGGGGTATTCAACCCAGTATTTTTCAAGCAGTGTGCCGTGGTACGTTAGTATGCCTTGCGATGTCGTTTGGTGAGCCTTTGGAAATGATCCAATGTCACCTCATTGGTCAAAATAATGAGACAAGAAAATAATGTGAGATGACTGGAAAGACTTGTTTGGTTTTTCTATAATAATTTCTATAATTCTAAATTGTTTTGGTTTTTCAGTCTATGACTTTGCATTGTCAATCAAGGCTGCAGAGTTTCAGATTCAGCTGTTGGTGTGCCACGTGATTGTTTTAAATGAAGAGGTGTGCCTCAAAAAGGTTGGGAATTAGACTCTTTTAGAACCTAATCTTGGGTATATAAGGTTGTTTTAATCACTTTGGCAGGTCAATTAGAGCTCGAGGGTAGCACAGAGGAGAAAGTAGTGTGGGTACAAAATGTTGGCAGCATGAGGGTCCGGGACACAGTGACCGTGACACATGCAGCTCTTTGTTATACATTCTGGCAATATTCTAAAACTATTGCACGGATGCACACCAGCTCTCTCCCTCCGTGTCCATACTTTGTTCTCAATAGAAAACAGATTTTCAACATTTCATTTTGTGGTTGCTTTACATTTACTGCAGCAGCTTTGAATTTGGTCAAAAGTGCAACATAATAAAGATGTCGAACAAAACGCCGCTGCAGAAGTCAGGGACACTTCCACGTCCTCGGAACAATAATACATTCAGTGTCTCTGCGCCTGTGGATCTACTGCATACAGACACACGCCAGAGTCAACACTCACCGCACGCTGCGAATGTAAACAACTATATGCAGCAAATGGGCCATAGATTTTATGAAAAAACACATTTCAGTCGTCGTCAGAGCTGCAGAGGACTGTCAGAATGTACGATGTTCCCTTCCATCCTGTCAGAGGGATCGATAAAATGTCCGCATGATGTGTCCCTGGGCGGTTCTCCATGGACCTATTGCACGGCTATAGAATAAGGCAAGGCAAGGTTATTTGTATAGCACAGTTCATTCACAAGGCAACTCAAAGTGCTGAACAAAACAAGATATAAACAATCAATTCAGTCAATGTGTATTTAGTTACATTTGTGGTAACACTTTAGATTATCCCTCAATTACCCGCTAATTAAGTGCTAAATAGTGTACACAAAGCCTAGCCCTATAACTTACTTATTTTTGTATTTTTCATTGCGAAATACTATGCAAGCTACTGTGACAACGCAATATCCCTTGTGGATCAATAAAGTCTGTCTCTATGGGAAAGTGTCTGTTAGTAGTTAGTTCGATGTTGAATACACAATTTAGCTGTTGATTAGTGAGTGATAAACTAACATGTGACCGGGTTTCTTATTTCTTCCAAAGCAGACATACAATGCAAATCTACTGTTGGGATTTTTTTAACCATGTTACCACAATTTTCCCTCATTCAAAGCAGACATGAGCACGAACATGTAACTCTACCGTTCGATCTGTCTCAAAGCTCCCGTCTCAGACCTGTGCGTATCATGTCATTGTACCACTTATCATTTACGGTCATCAGTAATGCCCGTGAATTTGTTTTGGCAAATTCTCAAGTGAAAATACATTATGACATTCTCTACAAACACATGAGTCTTTGCTGCCGATCACTTCTGTTGCTTCACGCTAAAATCTTCAAAGACAAACTATCATTATGCTACAATTTCGTCTTTATGACTTTAGGGCTATAAGTGTGTGTATGTGTGTGTGTGTGTGTGTGTGTGTGTGTAGGTGTGTGTGTAGGTTAAATTCCTGCCACCCCCCCTCTTCTGTGGACCGCCCCCCATGAGGAAAACCTAATCCTTCAGCCCCATGATGAGGCCGGCCCCTTCAGGGCATCCATTGTGGCCTGTGGGAAAATCCCCATGAGGATCAGGTTCCACAGGACTCATTCCCCCAGATGCCCTCCCTGCAGCTGGAGGACTGGGTTTGGTGATGTTTTGTCCTGGAGACATTGGGAAAACAACAGGAGGCCACACACTACTGCTGCTGCTGCTGCTGCTAATACTGCTACTGCTGCTGCTGCTACTGCTGCTGCTGCTGCTGCTGCTGCTGCTGCTGCTGCTGGTGTTTCTCATTAAGTCACATTCTTTACAGTGGATTTTCTGAGCTAGATTCAACTTGACATTAAAGATGATAATAATAATAATGCCTTTGATTTATACTGCACTTTACATTTCCAGGAAACCTTACATTGCTACAGATATAACACAATACAACAGTCACACAAGAACTTTCAGAGCGACTTAAGACTTTTCTCAATCTCATCTTTATGACATTATTTTTGTTATGATATTTCCTGTAATTTTAAAATGTGAGTAGTAGCTTTAACTGAAATACTGAAGAAAATTACAATTGTCATGTCTACTATTGACATGTTTTATTGTCATAGGAGACAAAGATTCACAGAATGCAAATGATATTATTTAGCTTGGAGGAATGGAAACCTCCAGTCAGCATTGGAGCCACGGTGCCAGTAGCTTGGTCTTCAGATAACAAAAACATTCCAGTGAAGAATACACTGTCTTTTGCCTTGTTGGAATGATGAGTTTAACTTTAACCACACACTGTAAACCCTGACAAGTAAAGTTTACTTGAAAAACCATGGAAATAAATTGCGTATTAACTTCACTTGAATTACTCGAGTACATCCTTTACTTGATATTACCAAGTAACTCCAATAAAGTTTAAATTTCTTCTTATGCTCCGACCAGGAATTGTACTCAGAACCCTGTAGTTGAGAGGTAATGGTGCTACCCACTCAGCCACCAGGCCACCCTGGCATTAACACACCTGCCTCATTAAAGAGTCTACACGTCAAAATGTCAAAAGTGAGGCTTACTTGAACAGAAACAGTTCAATTCAAAGAAAACTCTGAGTGACATAGGCAAGCTTTAAATAAACTAACAATAAATGAGTAATATTCACTTACTGGGAAAAATCTATTTAAAATAACTTTGATATCTGAAGTACGATTGAAGTTAGGGTTGCTTCAAAGTGTCATGAACTCACCAAAATATAAAAAAAAATGTATAAAAATACTTTTAAAAAAGACATTGAAAGTTTATTCTATGAACGTTGAAGAATCTCATGGAGCTGCTGGTTCTGGAGAGGTGAAGACTGAGAGGAAGTAAAACTGGTAGAAAACTGAATAACTTTTGGAAGAATCTTTCAGGTCTTTCAAAGCAGTCAAAATGACGGCTCTGGGAGTTCTCAATGTCCTAGTGTTAAAGAAATAAAAATGCGGCGCTCACCCAAAAACCATAGCAACCGTATCTGTCCGACCAGTTAAAACCAAGCTACGTAACAACTGAAATGTACTCACTTAGATACTGCAAAAACGTGATGAAAAATAAGTCAAAAATTGCTCAAACTTGACAAAAATTTATTTAAAATGGAGCACGTTTTGACTGCCTTAAAACAAGATTTGCCAATGAGACAAAAGCAAAGAGATGTTTTAAAATATACAAAAAATGTCTCAGTTCTTCAGATATGACTAAATAGCTTTGTCCCATTGGTGACTCTTGTTTTATACCAACATTTACTGAAATTAAAAGATAATAAAAACCTCTTTATGTAAGCATGTATTACCTCATATTTGATCGTGATTTGGACCAGCTTCAAACACATTCTGTTCTGGTTCTGGAGGATTGCTTTGACCCAGTAACTCTCTGCATCAATCTGAATCAAAGCAACATAGTGGGCAGTTGGCGCTGTCTCTGCTGTCAGACTCACCAAATTGGACAGGCTGAGAGCGACGAAACAGAGGATAATTGGACTGTGAATG